GTTATTGAGAGTACCAATACCCAATTCTCGTTGCGCCCTTTACTCTTCCATCGTCGATGGCAATAGCAATAGCGATAGCGATAGCAGTGCGACATCTTGAATATCCACATCTCTAACCCATCGAGGAATCAGGTACACAAACAAACGTCAAGGAAGAGGGCCTTCCGATAGCCCGTTAGCCAGGGTCGCCCCACAACACCCGTGGGCAATGTGGAAAAACACCATTGTGATCATAACCCACAGCAGACGAAAACAGCGAGATAGTGTAGACCCAAAAGTTTGGATACCTGGTGAAATGAGATGTGTCTATATACGGTGTCGAATAAGCCAGCAGGTAAGCAACGAAAACGCATGTGAGCGCCTGGGTCCGCTCCCTACTCCCCTTCCCCCTCTTGCTGAAAGGAGCCAAAAAGAGACATAGATATTGGATGTTGGATGCGATATGGCATGTACCGGCCAAATAGACGCTGAATGAAAGGAAAGGTCGAGGTGAAAACTCCGAGACAGGAAAAGGGAACGGAAAGATGCAAGGAGAAACGCGAGATCCGGCTCTTGTGTTTGCCTTGTCCATGTCGACAATGCCTGTGATAAGTCTTGCTCGTATTACAACAGGTGATCTGTCTTTCGTTATTCGTATCCGCATGCTCGTCACATGACGGTGCATCCACCACTTCTTGCTCGCCTTCTTCGACCACCCCCGACGGCACCACCTCCGTTGCCGCCTTCGCCTGCTTCGTCCGCATGCATCATCTGTGCTTCCCTGGCTCTTCTTCGTCTACGTCTAGCGCCTGCACCACTGGCTCCGGCTTCCTCCTGCGCAATCATAAAGTCTGCCCATTTTCGCTCCAGCCTGTTCGCTGCTGTGAAATCTCCCTTCAGCACGCGCTTGGTGTGTTCGTCGACTGTGGGCTGATAGTTGTAGAAACACTTCAATTGGATAATCTCGGCGGGATAAGTGCGGATAGCTGACGGATGCGTGGGTACGACATGCTCTTCGCCTCGTTCGTCAGTGTTTTTGCGAGCCGGAGCCGGATGTCGAGTGGTGATGACTTCAGAATTGCGAGAAAGTACCTCGCGAATACCTGTCCAAGTCACGTTCTGGCAATCGTAGGCCACGAGTCTGAGGCCAACGTTTGGCCTGTCCAGGCTGCATGTTGTTCGAAGACCTCTAGCGCGAGACATAGCTGCGGCTTCGACAAGTGTCAGATCTGAGATGCGTGTGTTGTCCATTTCCAAGCTGCGGAGATTGGTGCAAGCCCTGAGGACGGGCAGCATGCCGACATCACCAAGATTCTCACAGTAAGATATGGTGAGATGACGCAGCGTTTTCGAGCATGAAGCACTTGCCAGTGTCTGCAGAACAACGTTGGAGAGAGGCTCAAGCTCTTCCAGGTCAAGGTGGGTGAGCTTTGGCATAGTGGGAAGAAGAGCAGTCAGTGTTTCGTCGCTTATGTCGGGCACTTTCGACAGCTGCAAGCCTTCAATTTCAGGGATGTTGTTGATCATGGCAGCGACACCCTTGTCACCGATGCCACGACATCTGGTCAGATCGAGGTGCTTGAGTCTACGAGGAGGAACGATGGGTCGGCCCGAGATGTAGTCGATCTCGCTGTCTCTGCCTTCGATGAGAACGGCAAGAGCTTCGTCGCTGAGTGAGTCGCAGTTCATGAGAATTAGCCTCTCAAGAGAATTCTTTTCAAAGAGGAGCTGCATAAAGTCGATGTCGTCCCAGCAGCGCACTTCTCCTGCCCGAACATCCTTCAGGTTCGGACAGGCCTCGACGACCTTTCGAAGGCCTCTAGTATCGATATTGTTGCACCACGAAATGTTGAGATACTCGACTTTTGGGCAGGCCTTGGCAATCATCTTCATGGTTGAGTTCGTGGCGTTGGCTAGGCCAGACAGATTGATGTGAACTAGTCGAGTGTTTTGCAACAGGAAACAATGTATAGAAGACCTGTCAATGCGGCAACCCTCCAGGGAGAAATTCTCGAGATTGCTGCAGGCTTCTGCCAGACCCTTTTCGTACCACTTCTCTCTCAGTTGAACACAACCTCGCAGGTTGAGATCACGCACAAACGGGCCTGCTGCTGTGATGATGTTAATCAGAGCATTGGCTGGAATGTCCTGGTAGAATTCAGCTGTGTCCAAATTGCTCCAGAGCTGGCCATCGAAACACAATTTGTGCCATTGCTTGGACACGGCGGAAGAACGGATGATTTCTCGAGGTTGGAGATAAGACAGAACCTCCATACGAAGCTCCCATGGTAGGTCATTCCATAAGTTGAAGTTCGGCCGTCTTTGGCGCAGAGGTTTCTTGACTGGTATAGAAAAATAGTCCCCTTCTTCTGTGATGCCAGGGGTTGAGGCCAATCTAGACGTGGACCGGAAAGGTAAGGTAAGAGGCGTCGAGTGAGCGTCTGCGAGGAAGCGGGTTCCTGGTGTCGTTACAGCAGATGTCGGTGCGGTTGAAAACACAGTCGACAGCTCTGTCGTGTACGAAGCATAAGGCGAAGCTCCAGAAGACAACGAAACACAAGACACCGAGGCCTTTCCTCCATACCTAACACCAGCAGATTGAGTGCCAGCTATTTTTGCCAATGAAGGAGACGACGACAGGCGATGGAGCAATCGTTCTCTTCGCTTTGGCTTCCGAGTAGATGATGTGCCCACTGGGGTGGAAGGTGCTTGCGAAGCAGTAGAGTCCATCGTGAAGTGCTCCTCCGATGATTGGGACATTTTATTGAGAGACTACGACTAGGATCCAGACAGACGGCTTGATGTCCAGAAAGGTATGGTATTGCTAGATATATGCCTACCTAGTCAATGACCAAAGACCTCGAGATGAATCGAGTAACCTTACTACAATGATTCCGGCCTTTGGCTATGGAAGCAGCTTCAGTGTCTGATCTTCTCTGCCGGACTCTTGTGCGCTGGCGAAAGGCAGGATAAAGCGGATTCGATATGTGCCTCAAGCGGGGAAACTGCGAGGGATAATGTCACCGTCCTCGAAACAACGGCCGAGGTATTGCTTGAGCAAGCCGAGAAACGAACGATAGACAACAAGGAGCTGTGAAGTTGGAAGAAGGCGTGGGAGAGGGACCAAATGGCCAGCCCTGGGCCTGCAGGTCAACCTTCTGCTGGAATTGCTGAGGTTGTATCTTGCCCCGACTGGAACAAATGTACGGACTATCGGCTTATCAGCGCAGCGGGGCGGGCTTGCTTTGCTTAGTGTCTCGGCCGTGGAGAGAGGCTTTGCATTCCACATCGACGCAGTTGAGGAACAACTTCATACATTTGTAGGACACCTCGTGAGGGTACACATACTGATAGAGATAGATAAGGCCCAAGACAAGTCCTCACACGACACCGCCTCTTGATGCCCTTCGAAGTCGTACATCTCGCGTGACAGCTTAAACAATGTTCCTCATGACTCGCTCTTATCGCGTGTGCCTCGGTCTGCCCCACCAAGCCTCCGAGGGGTCTCGCGGAAGCCAATCCGCTCCTCCCGCTTCATGCATATCTACCTTGATGCTTATGCCTTTACTCTTTCCGGAAAAGGGTCATGAATAACAAGAGATAGCAGATACTATTATTCGGCGTGGCACATATGCAGTGATTTCAGAGGGTGGCCTTGTATTACCCGAAGAGCTGAGAAGCTGCTTGCCTGATATACTCAACTTGCCAAGCTGAGACGCGTGGTACAAACACTAATATTGATGGTACAAAAGAAAAGCTCGCCGGAATTCATATCATCATCTTCATGATCATCACTTCGATCAGCCGAGACGGTTGGCGCCTGATCTGACGGTAATGTCTGCGAGCGCAAGGACTTCGTACTTGTCTACACTTGCCCAAGCAGCACAGATAGTGCCAATCAATGGAAGCAGTGAACGGCCCAGATTGAGGGTGATCCCTACAACGTAAATTAGAACCTTATATAATGTATACCTCACCATGTACGTACACTTGTCGAGCAGACCATGAGCAGTCTCCTCCTTGGCAACACCAGCCTCTGCAGCTGCATCTTCGAGAGATGTGGTAGCCAGAGATTCGGCCTTCTCATTAAGCTTATCGTTGGTCGGCTTCATGACAAGCAGAGTGTAGGGCACGATCGACGGAACCAACACTGCCGCGACAGTGTAGAGGGTAAAGGCAGCGGAGCCCTTTGGTTCTGGAGAGGGTTAGATGACAATAACATATACACGAACAAAGCAATTACCTCTGTATGCAAGGCCACCAAAGATGGCCGCGCTGATGATGCTAAGCGGGGGAGCAACCACTTTTCCGCTGTCAAAGATCTTCTTCCACTGCTTGACAAGCAGAGGCGCTGGGGAGTCGAGGATAGCAGGAGTCGTGAAGCTAATGCCAGCGATCGCGCCTTATCATGCGTCAATCACGCATCTGACGATACCATCACAATTAAACATACCTGCTAGGTAGGCGGAGGCAGTGAGGCCCACAACTTGGGCGACACAAACGCCTGCAGTAGGCTTGTCCACAGAGATGGGAATTCTGTCCATACTGAGTGATTGATGAGCTTGTCTGTCGAGTTTGTGTGATTGTTGTAGATGAGGTTGCAATGTTTCGAGGTTGGCACCTCCCTTCCTTCGAACTTGGTCACGAGAGCACAAAGCTTGGCAAAATCATTACAGTACAGTAAGGTCAGGTATCTGTACCACCTCATATCTCTGTCATGCCCTGATTGTGATATGTATGAATTACATCATCCTACCTTACTATATTCAGCGACGGAAGATCTACAGCACGTGGGGCGTAGTGCTACCGTGTCTGCTAGCTGAAATTCTTATATGTCTGCTCAAGGACATCCCTACACTGACTACTTGAAAATGAGCTATCCGATGGAATTTGGTCTGCCAATACCTGCCTTGGCATCCACCTAACCTCGCACACATGCTTCCAGGCCCATCAAGTGTAACAAAAGAAAAGCGTTTCCTCCCCAGGGTCGAGTATGGCGAAGATACAAAAAGAATTTACACTGGACTAGCGGCGAATTGAACGCCGGACCTTCTCCACTCGCAAGCTGGCCGAAGTCCGCTGATGCTAAGAAGATGTCATACCACTAGACCACAAGCCCTGTTCATGAAGAAATTGGAAAATCTAGAGCGTATTATTCGGGACTTCAGATGGGTTCCCTCGCCTCTACGGCGAAATGGAGATTCGAACGACCACCGAGATAGGAAACGACATCGATATTTTTTTTTATCGATATTCATCAGTTTATTGACAGTTTCATCTACAAGTTGACTCAACGAGTCGGACTATCCAACTCCTGTCGATTTTAATTAAGGGAAAGGGTGCCGCCCGACTATCCTAGCAACGCTGTTGCTATAGTTATACCAGCGTTGTCCCTAAAGGGACTAATCGCTGCTTCAGCAGCTTAAAGAAGAGCTAGGAGTACTAGACAGGGCAGTAGAGGGCTTATTCAGCCTATTCGCTCTCTTAGTCCAAGTAATAATACTGTTTTTGCTAAAGATATAATAAAACATCTTATTAAAAAAGCAATAAACGCTCAGAATAGCAAACTTAACAAACTGCTTAAGCAACTTAGAACTTAGAACAAGGTCCTCTATTAAAAGAATATTGCTCTAATAGCGTTATTTAATATTATTATAAAAAAACTCAATATTGCTAAAATAAAGCTTAATATTATTAAAATGAGATTTAAACACTCGCTTATAGGGATTAAGAAGCTTAAAAAGAAATTCAAAATAATAAATACTAAATTGGCTGACTTAAAGGCTAATATTAAAATCCTTAATATAGAAATTAGGACTATTGGCTCCAGCGTTAACAAAGGAAGAACAGTCCTCTTAACCTTTAAGCAGTTAAGCCTATTGTCCCTAGCTGACCCTAATATAGCAATATTATTATTAACTTTATATATATTTATAGCATTAAGGTCAGGTAACCTATTATTATTAGCTATTTAACTTTATATAAGCAAAAGAACGCTATTAACTCTACTAACTTTTTTAGAAAAGCTATAACAACTTCTAAGTGTCATAATTGACATTAGCTAAATGCTAACTAAATAACGTAAGCTAGCTATAAATAGCAGAATTATAGTAAAAAAAATTAGAAAAGCAATTACATTTTAGCTATTAGTATACGCAGTTACTATTAAAGGAATTCAAACAAGAGCAAGAACTATAAAAGTCATTACCTAAAATAAAAAAAATATAGCATAATTATAGTTAAATAATAAATAGGTTTACTAAGTATTTAAAATAGCTCTAATTTACAAAAAAGATTACTTCCTAATCAAAGTTGATAACGTACCTAGAACAGCAGTCCTAGAACTAGGTATTAGTAAAATCCGTCTAGAGTTTATAATAGTATTTATAACTAAGAATAAATTTATAAGCGCTATTAGGGCGCACTAGCTGTTTAAAAGAGAAAAACTGGCTGGATCTATAATAGTCTATTTAGCTACAGCTAAGAATGCTTAATAAGCTCTTACTGAATAAAGGGTTAAGATTAATAAAAATATAGATATAATTAATAAATATAAAAAGCGTTAACGCTTTTAGAGATGCTATAACAATAATAAATATAGCTATTATTAGGCTAAATATAGCTAATTAATAAAATGTGGCAAATATATAGAGAACTATAAAACTAATAATTATAAAGCTATAGCCTCTAAATATGCAGCATATAGTAAACTATATACTGTTATAGATATAGAATGTTTTATATACTGTAATAAGATTAGCAGAATCTAAAAAGGAAGACAACATATTAATTAAACCACTTATAATAGAAATAAGGAATAGCAAATTATTACTAATTAACAAACTAAATAGGAAGAAGTCACTATAAGCAATATATAATAGGAGACATTTATTTCCTTTTAGTAAACGTAAATAGACAACCCCTAGTTCAATTTAGCTTTATTAACAATCTGTTTATTAACCAGTTTATAGTAATTATAATTATAGAACTAAGTATTATAAATATTAATAGCAAACTATATATTTCCTAATATTAATGCTAAACTACTGTAACTCTAACTACTTATTAAGAAGGACTAACGCATTATGCGTTTTAATTAACATTTTATATCTATAAAGACGTTCTATTTATTTAATTTCCTATATAGTTATTAGACATAACTGTAAATGTTGTTACTACTTTAATAGGATATATATTTATTGCGTTAATTTATATTCTAGGCTATAGCTGACATGTCTCCTCTAAGCAGGACCTAGGAGAGGCAGTCACTACCAGGCTCAACGCGCTAAGTAGCGCTATTTAAAAAGCGAAATTAAAGTATAGAGAAAACCTCCCTATTATAATAAAAAGCAACTTCAATTGTTATAACCTAATATAAGAAAGAGCTAATGTGCCACAATTACAATATATAGAAAAAGGTGAACTAATGCTCTAATAGATATATTGATATAATACCTTTTTAGCGCTATTAAGTAATATAGTTATATTCCTATAAGGACGCTTTGAAACTATTATTAACTTTATATTAATGTCTAACTTAATAAAAGACCAGGTTATAAAATGCAGTATCTACCTAACCTAATACAGGTTAGACTATAAAGCTATAATACTTTAAATTAAAAAGGTTAAAATAGTCATTTTGCTAAAAGTTAAATACAACTTTAAAAAGATAAACTAGGATATAGCTATTAAAGCACTTAAAGAATAGAAACTGTCAGTTATTAATATTAATAATACTACTAAGCTTAATTAAGCAATTATAGAGATCTAGAACATAAGAAGTTAATATATTTGTAATTATAGCCTAATAGTTAAGGAATCCCTATATATAAAATTATAATAGGATAATAAACTTACTAAGCTTTATAACAAATATATTTAATAACTGAACTAGAGCAATGCATTACAAATTATAAAATTAAATAAAGAAGAAAATTGTTATAAAGCTAGGTAAGCTAAGCACTAGTTTTATAAAAGTATCTATAATAAAAAGCAACTATACTGGAACAAGTTCCTAGCATAGACAGACAATATCTAGAAAGCAGCTAGATACCTTAACTTATAACTATCAGCATTTAGTAATATCTTTACTATAATTATTAGCATTAAAAGCTAAAAGGTGAAGCTTAAAGGTAATAAGGTTAAAACAACTGAGCTACTCTAATGCTTTGTCCTACTAGTTTCTAAAAGTTAGAAAGAGAATGCGCCGAATCTTAATATAAGATATATGTTATGTCTTAACAGGGCAGGCAGGTTGATATGCAGTTTGTTAGCAAAGCAGGGGCTTGTTTACAAGAGCAGGGGGTGTTGTTCAGGTAGGTATGAGATTGTTAATATGAGTTGACTACAAACTATCTAAGAGATTAATAAGGACTAGGAGGCTATATACTTAGAGAATGTTATAGAGACTAGGTTAATCACCTTAATTACTAGATTATTGTAATTACAGTGAACAAGTGATTATAGTATATTTAACTTAATTACTTAGAATAAGTAATTATTAATCTAGGCGCTAAGCTATAATTATAGTTAATCATATATAAAGCACAGTTATAATATTATTCTCTTTTTTAGCTAAATACGTTTACGCATTTAATAACTAAGTTTATCTAGCGTGAACCTTCTTTGTCTAGCTTCTATTATATTAAAAGTGATTTTATCTAATAGTACTATTTATTGTTATATATTTACTAATTCTATTAATGCTTTTAATAAAAAAAATGCTAATTCCTTATAGTTACTATTAATTAAAGCAGCTTTATTATAAAGTTAATATGCGCTTAGATTGCTATAAAGAATGTGTTTATTAGGGTTGCAAATACAATCTAGTTATTACTTACTTTAAATAGGAGTTCTTAAAGAAATAAAGGGCGCGCCTTTTTTAAAAGCTAGATAAGGCGGAAAATATTTTAATAAATATAATAGCAAAGCGCTTACGCTTAAAGAAACAATTTGACTTTTTAAAAGCTAGATAAGGCGGAAAATATTTTAATAAATATAATAGCAAAGCGCTTACGCTTAAAGAAACAATTTGACTTTTTAGAAAATTATACCTCTAAAGCAATTTTTAAGGAGTTAGCTTCTATTAAGGAAGTTGAAGCTATTAAGGCTTTATAGGAGGATAACGCTATTATTCCTTCAGAATTGGATCTACTATTAGTAAGCTTTAGTTTTAACATTTTATAATTACCTTTAGAGACTTAGGGTCTTATTAATAGGGTATCTAAGTCCTTCTAGGATTTTCCTTTGCTTAGTAGTAATAGTATATTAACAATGTTAAGCTAAGGTTGTTTTCTAATTTCTAGGTATTTTCTGATTCTTTATATCCTGTCTATCTAATAAAATAATGTAGCTAACTATTAACTAATTTAATGTCTAGAATATTATCCATTTTATATTTGTTATTCTAGCTTTTAGAATCTAATTCTGGAATAATTAGCATAGCGTTTTTAAATACTAATTCTAGTAATAAGATATGAAATACAGAATAGATTTGCATTAAAGCTAGGAGCTTTAGTTTATATATAATCTTGCTTATAACTTTTAAGATTTTAAATAAGCTAAGTTTTATATAATATAATTTTATACTAAATCTCTTTATCTTGAGATTTTGTTATAATAGGTAAACTGAGTCCCTCTTTTAAAAAGCTGGTCTTTTAGACCTTTTCTTATTATAATACGTTGCTAAGTAGGTATTAATAAACTGCAAATTAAATGCTAATTTATAATATAATTTAATTAATTGTTCAATATCTATTATTGACTTTTAAAATACTTTTACAATATTTCTTAGTTTTTAAGTAGCTGTTAGGTTCTTGCCAAAGTTAGTAAAGAAGGATGAATAACTAGTAGCTAATTTGCTACTATTATAGGTAAACTACGCTAGCAGTAATAGCTTTACCTAGTTGTTTTAACAATAGTTAATATAATAACGTAGATATTATTTAAAGATTTAGTTGATTCTCTCAGTTTAGCTATTTATTTAAAGGTAATAAGCTATTAACATTTTGTGCTTTGTATCTAGTTAGTCTATAGAGTCTCTACCTCTATATAGATTATTAACAATTGAATTCAATCACTATTAAGAATTGCTATATTTTATTACTGATTTTAAAGCTA